TCTCCAGGCAACCTGTCCTGTATGCAGTAGTGTAGCAATAGCAATAGCAGTTAGACTTATATACCGCTTCATAGGGCTTTCAGCCCTCTCTAAGCGGTTTACAGAGTCAGCATATTGCCCCCACAGTCTGGGTCCTCATTTCACCCACCTCGGAAGGATGGAAGGCTGGAGTCAACCTTGAGCCGGTGAGATTAGAACCGCTGAACTGCAGATAACAGTCAGCTGAAGTGGCCTGCAGTACTGCACCCTAACCACTGCGCCACTTCGGCTCTTGGAAACCAGTGGGGACAGTTACACAGGGTGATCGTGTGACCCCAGGACACCGCAACCGTCATAAATACGTGCCAGTTGCCAAGTTCCCAAATTTTGATCAGGTGACCAGAGGCATACTGCAACCGTGTGAAAAATCAGTCATAATTCCACTTTTTACAGTGCTGTTGTAACTTTGAATGGTTACTAAACAAACAGTTGGAAGTCAAGGTTTCTCTGTGACTAATCGTATATCCCAGCAATGGGATTTCTTTTTAACAATTTTATTTTGTTAAACCATTCTGGCCTCTCAGCTGAATTCCCATCACATGCTAGGCCTCAACAAGTCAAGAAGACCCCATTGCTGTGTCCCCCAAATCTGCTGTGGTCTAACTGAATAACAGAGTTGGAAGGGAACTTGGAGGTCTTCCACTTCCACCCCCTGCTGAAGCAGAGGAGACCCTATGATATTCCAGACAAATGGTGAGCCAATCTCTGCTTAAGAACCTCTAGTGATGGAGCACCCACGACTTCTGGAGGGAAGTCGTTCCACTGATTAATCATTCAGGAAATTTCTCCAGGGACGGCCTGCTGGGGAGGGTGTCGCAGGGGGAGAACCTCTAGCTAAGATTCTGTGCCGTTCAGAGAACCCCCAAATCCCACTCCTGGCTGGCCGCGCCCATCCATCCCCTCCCAGGAGTTCCCATGCAGCCTGTATTAGATGTAGGTTATTTTTTTATTTTATTATTTATTAAATTTTGTATGCCGCCCACTCTCAAAGAGACTCAGGGCGGCTTACAGTAAAAGGGGGTAAGTGTAGGGCACTTATGCAGTCTCGGGGAGGGGGGGAAACAGGCCAAACGGGGGTTCAGGAAGGCTGGGAACTGTTTCTTCCCTCCAGAGGATCTCTGGAGCCTGGGGAGGGTAAAAAACGCTCCCCTCCACTGTGGTGCAGGAGGCCAGCTAGGCCACGCCCACCCAGCAACTGGGCAGAAAACCCCTTGCTAAAAATGTTGAAGCCCACCCCTGAATTTCTCCTTAGTTTTAGGCTGGTTCTCTCCTTGATTAGTGCCCAACCTTTGCTTCTTGTCCTGGCTTCAAGTGCTTTGGAAAACAGGCTGATCCCCTCTTAAAGGAAACCATATTGAAAAGAAGACTTCCTACACAACGCCCAGATCCAGAAAGCACCCAATCTATTTAATGTGCTTAACGGGTTGTGTGAATCCTTTCATTACAACTGGCCCCACAATCCATGGTCAGATTCATCTTCTAGTTCAAAGCATCTCCAACCTATTCGTCTCACTTTGCCCTCAATTTCTGTTCACGTTTTGTAATAGAGAAATTAAGATGACCAATGCATAAGCTTACCTATGAGGATGAAGGCAACAGCCAGGATAAAAGTCAGACCATAGGCTCTCAGTGGCTCCTTATTCTTTCCATAACCCTTGGCGAAAAAGCCTATCAGAGGGTAGAGGTTGTCTTGACAGAGGCACTAGAAGGAAGAGGGACATAAACTTTGAAGCAGGAGTCTCAAAACTCATTAGGGACAATCATGACTAATGGCCACAGAGATGATTAAAGTCTTCTTGCTATAACCAGATGTTGGGCAGGTTGGAGCAAGTCAGAAAGATTTGATTTGGCATTAGTTCTATCTCAATCTATATGAACACAGGGCCTGATTCACCGTTCCCATTAATTTACCTGCGATAACATCTCTACCTTCTGGCTACGGGGATTGTCTATCACAACCAGATCACGGTTATGCCAAAGATATTTTTCAAAAGGTGAGAGGACTTTCTCGGGGTTTTTTTCCTTGAAAACGTTTCACTTCTCCAGCCGGAAGCTTCAGTACTGACAGTGGTGCTGAATAGAAGGATTTATATTCTTTACGACCAGATGACTGCGAAGAATATAAATTCCTTCCATTCCCCACCATCCAGTCAGAACTGAAGAAGCTTCTTGGATGAGAAGCAAAATGTTTTCAAGAAGAATGTCCAGTTATAAAAAGCATTTTTGGGACATCTCTATCTACTTTTCTCTGATAAACAGCCCCAAAGTGAAGAACAAGAAAGCACGATACACAGACGGTACAGCTTTTAATTACTGTATTTTTTGGAATATCAGACACACCTTTTCTCTCCCACAAAAGAAGGTGAAAATTTGGGTGCGTCTTATACACCGAATGTAGCCCTGCCCACCTGCCAGCCCCCACCCGCTGGCCATTTTCGGCCTCTGCGCGTCTCATTTTTGACTTCTTCCAGGCTGCAGGATTTACCTCAGACTGTCGCCACTTCTATGCCTTGCATTTTTGGCCTTGGTGCCTCACGTTTTCAGTCTCTGAATGCTCCGCTTCAGACCCGTTCAGGGTTGCAGGAATTGTCAGAGAACATTGCTGCCAATCGCCACTTGCGTTTTTGGCCTCTGCTCCTTGCGTTTTCGGCCTCTGGAGGCCTCCATTTTGGCCTCTATGTATCATGTTACGTGTTATGGGGTGTGCAGGGGCCGAAAATGCAATGTACAAAGGCCTATAACACAATGCGCGGAGGTGTCAATTGGCAGTGACGTGATCTGGCGATTCCTGCAGCCTGGAACGGGTCAGAAATGGAGGCTGGAAACGCGAGGCATGGGAGCGGCAATGGTCTGTTGCAATCCCCGCAGCCTGCAACAGGTCTAAAACATGACACGCGGAGGGCTAAAATGGCTGAAGGGTGGGGACCAGCAGGTGGGCAGGGCTACATTCGGTGTATAAGACGCACCCAAATTTGTGCTGAATCAGGCTAATGTGCTGAAGTTGACCAGGTTATTAGCTAAGGACGCTATCCAGATGGATACCGATGGATGCTGGTAGGCCGAGGCAGAATTTTTTTCTTGTTTTCCTCCCCAAAAACTAAGGTGTGTCTTATACTCCAGAGCATCTTATATCCGAAAAATATGGTAACTGTCTCTACCGTTCCTCACCTGGGAGCTTTAAAGCTGAATCATAATATTCAAGCTCAGCACATTCAGAAAGAAATCCTCCCACTTGTCAAAGTTCAGCCTGGCCAGGTGAAAAAGAACTTGTTCCTTTCTAAAGTTAAAGGCTAACCCATGAAATTGACCTGGTGATAAATTTGGGGAGAGATAGAACCAAACTCCATCACAACATAAGAAAATTATGGAGTTTGTTGCCATGTGGAACATGTGGAAAGTCATCTTCACAAAGGGTTTTCTGTAACCCTAATCTTCTCTGGATGATTTGGAGCAACCAGAATTCACATCCAACATCAATTTGAAGGATATTCTTAGGGAAACCCCAACATGATATCCCTATTTCATAGAATCATAGGGCTAGAAGGGATCTTGGAGGTCTTCTAGTCTGATTCCCTGCTCAAGGTAGAAGCCTTGTACCATTTCAGTCAAATGGTTGTGCAGTTTGTTTCTGAAAACTTCCAGCAATGACCCAAAGCTGCTTTTTCAAGAGGCAACTGGACTTTCTGGTTTTTCTTTGAAGGTGTCTTGTTTCTCACCCAGGAAGCTTCTTCCGAGGAGTTTGAGAAGCTTCTTGGATGAGAAGCGAAACGTCTTCCAAGAAAAACCAGAAAGTCCAGTTGCCTCTTGAAAAAGCACCTTTGGGACAACCATGACTAAGAATCTCCACCGAGCTGCAGTAATGAGAATACACAACTCCGAGAGGCAAGCTAACTCACCGATCGCATGACACTCAACTCACAAGCACTGAGATGCTTCTGGGTTGAAAGCAGAGGTGAGCCGCTACCGGTTCGCACCGGTTCGGGCGAAGTGCACGAGAAGCAAACCGGCAGTAACCCACCCCTGGTTGAAAGGATTAACTGGTGACATCATGATTGCCCCGGGGATGCCCATTTGGGGGCTCCATTCATGTCCCTGGGAGGAGCTGGCGCGGAGGACGAAAGCTCACCCCACCCCATGGTAGCACTTAGGTCTCAGAACGCGGGCTTGCTATCTCCAACCCAGTGTCCTAAGCAAACAAGCCACTGTGCTACCTTATTCTATTAATTAATTGATAGTGTTTCTTGCCCCATAATTCCCCCCCCCCCAATCTACCTGGAAGACCTTGGGGGCTGACACAAGGCAAGCCAAAGCAGATGAGAGTGTAGCAGCGAAGATTCCTGCGGTGATCAGGGGGCTGTATGCCGACACCATGCTCATTGTCTGGAAAAGAAGTGAGAGGGACCATTTTGAAGAGAGAAAAGTCCAAGTCACACATCCCAAATCTCTCTTCTACTCCCAAAGATCAGGGGAGGGGGGGGGTGTTTGAGTCCAGTAGCCGTACCTGGTAATCATTGGCAATCCCATAGTTGCAGGTCTGTGTCACACTGCATTCAGTGAAGTTCCAGCCGTACCCGCAGCCCAGGCCAACACAGTCTCCGCCAGTGAAGTTGGAAACCAAAGTGTCATTTAGACTTCCAGAGGCATCACGGATGACGCAAGCTCCTGTAAAAGATGAAGGAAAAGGGTCTCACAGGATGGGACCCTGGCATGGCTGTCAGGAGCCTCTGGTCCCAAAATGGAATCTTAGTTACCTATGGTGGCCGCAATGGCCAAATAGCTGATGGTGGTCAGGAAGATAGCCATTAGTGTTCCTTGGGGGATGGCAACTGCTGGATCCTGCAAAAGGAAGGCCATGGTGAGCAAAAATGACTAAGAAACTGCTGGAGGAAGACGGAGAAGACACAGGAGAAAACAGGGATGCACTCAGCTGAAACCATGAACAATATGGTTCTTCACTTCCTAGAACTGCCTCCACCTATCTGAGGAGAAGCAAGGCTTCCACCCCTGCACCCTCTTTCTAGCACCATCTTCTTGGCAGCTGGATGAAAACACCAGAAAAACTTTCTCAGTTCAACCGTCATGAAGGACAGTGTAAGAAATTCTGTTTATATGTAGCGCCACAGAGCAAACAAAAAGTACAGTCACCATGTGCTTTACTGCTCAACTGTTTTAACTGTGGTGCTACATATAAACAAGAATTTTGTAAAAGATTATGAGCCCAGAAATCCAAGTGTGGTGCAACATAAACAACCCAATCATAACCAACTACAGCAAATAAGTGCAAGATACAGCAACAGAAAGGAGACTGCAACAGAATAAAAATAAAACGGCCAGTAACACTGTGGCAACAAAGATTTCATTTGCAAACCAGATAAACCAGAACTATCAGTTTTATAAATTCAAGATGAAGATGCTGCTAATAAGAGAAGGTACATGGTGACTGTACTCTCCGTTTGCTCTGTGGTGCTATAAATAAACACATTTCTAACTAAAAAACAGGAACAGAAAGTTCCTCCTACAGGGGCCCCACTTAATGATATGTGAGGGAGGAGAAGCCATCATCAATGATCTGGAAGCCAATTAGCTTCTCCCTTTAGGGGACTATCCTCTGCTCCAACACAGTGGATCCAACCTTCAGCTCAACTGGCACCAGGGACAATGTAGTTCTTCAGTTCCTAGAATTGCCTCTATCTGCTATATCTAAGGGAGATGAGATGTTTCACCAGCACTGAATGTACTTTTGGGGCAAGTGCCAGGAACAGGAAGAAATGCACAGCATTGCCCCAACCTACAAAGGAATTGTCGGTTGCAACAGTTGCTGCAATATTACTGCAACCAGCCATATGTGCTGGAATTCATTGGCACCGCTCTCTTGCTTACCAGGACATGTATACTAAACCCAACAGTGTCTCCTATATAGTTGGTTGCATAATTAGAGATCAGTACGGTTACTATGGACATTACTCAGCTAGGTATGGTGTCTCTACATGCATGTTCTTTCCCAGACTGTAAGGCCATTTCCCCCATTTCCTATTAGCCTCAAAAGCCCTGCTACCCAGGTGTGCCCATTTTATGCTTATCTGATCCAGGTAAAGTAATTTCACAGGCAATGGGAATTATTTTTCAAGGTGCAAACAATTCAAGTCCCCTTCTGTGAATCACAGCAGAACATAACCCATAAAAAGTTACTCTGTGTGGATGGACTTTGAAATCCTTGATGCTTTCTGAGCTTGGTTATTTGCTTACAGACATTTCATTGCCCAACTGGGTATATCATCTGTAGTAATAAGTACATCGCTGCTCATGTTACCTAATTGGGTAATGAAATACCTGCAGGCCAACTCAAACTCAGAGAACAATACCAAAGACTCCACAGTTCAACCCCAAGTTACAGATACATATTCTCTTCTGTAGGATATTCTTAGACTTAGTTCCGTTCGAAATCTTACTTTTGTGGATTGATTTTATTGCAAAACCAGGATGCTTCCTGAAAAGTTGAAGTAAAGGTAAAGGCTCCCCTTACACATATGTGTTTGTCTTTCCCGACTCTAGTGGGTGGTGCTCATCTCTGTTTCAAAGCCGAAGAGCCAGCGCTGTCCAAAGACGTCTCCGTGATCATGTGGCCGGCGTGACTAAACGCCGAAGGTGTTACCTTCCCACCGAAGGTGGTCCCTATTTTTCTACTTGTATTTTTACATGCTTTCGCACTGCTAGGTTGGCAGAAGCTGGGACAAGTAACGGGAGCTCACTCCCTTAAGCGGCACTAGGGATTCGAACCTTCAACCTGCCGACCTTTCTCATTGACAAGCTCAGCGTCTTAGCCGCTGAGCACCACATCCCTCAAAGTTGAATTACAGCTGCACAAACCCCAGGTAGAATGGCGAAGTGTCTTCCAATATTATTTCTTTGTGTGCTTCCCTCATCTGAAGCGATCCAGGTAAACAATAAAGAAAAGGGCCTTTTTTTGTGTTGTCCCCCAGTTTGGTAGCTCCTTCTCTTGAAGCAAGATTCGTGGTCCTGATCCTGCCCTTGACCTTGGAGGATCTTGAATCAAAGATCTTGGCCTTGATCTTCTTTTCTGAGCAGATGGTGGTTTGGGATTGGTCTAAATTGGTATTTTTCAGACTTGGCTACCGTGTGGACATCACCTCTCATGCTGGCTATGGAATTCTGGGAGGTGGAAGTGCACATATTTTTAAGCTGCCGAGTCTGAAAAACACTGGCCTAAGTTATCTTTCTGGAGAAAAGGGGTAATCTTTTAAACCTGAACCCTCTGATTGTGAGGAGATTTAGTGGGATTCCTCTGTCTTCTATGGAATGTGGCTTGGCCAGATCTTGCTCACACATGCCTAAAGAGTAACCTGAATGGAAAATTACACTCTCTTTTATCCAGTTATGAGATCACCCTTCCTTAATCAATATAATTTAGGTATGCTGGGTCTGCAGTTCCCAGAAGTCAGTTTTAAAGGCGCCAGAATGCAGAAGGGTGTGTGTTTGTGTGTGTTTAACTCACTGCAGGGGAGCCTGGAAAAAAAGAGAGCATACCAGTACACAGGATATTCTATTTGTTTTCTTAATAAATCATGAGCTTTGGCTGAAATTATATTGCCGTAAATCCCCACTCCTCATCCTATCCTAATGGTGAAATGCAAATCTCTTGCCTTTGACTCAAGTGTTTGACTCTTGATGATTCATGGACAAGTCCATACAGTCTTGGCAACAGGGTTTTTTTGGAAGTGGTCCTAGGGCTGAGAGAAAGGCACTGGCTCAAAGTCACCCATCTGGCTTTGTCCCTAAGGCTACAACTAGTCTCTGAGCTTCCCATCAGTGGTGGGATTCAAAATCTTTTACTACTAGTTCTGTGGGCGTGGCTTGATGGGCGTGGCAGGGGAAGGATCATGTAAAATCTCCACTCCCATACCACTCCAGAGGAAGGATGCTGCAAAAATCTCTATTTCCTACCCATTGCAGGGGAAGGTTACTGCAAAATCCCAATTTCTTCCTAACCAGCTGGGACTCGGGAGGCAGAGAATAGATGGGGGAGGGGGCCAGTCAGAGGTGGCATTTACCGGTCCTCCGAACTACTCAAAATTTCCACCAGTTCTCCAGAACTGGCCAGAACCTGCTGAATACCACCTCTGCTTCCTATCCTAAGTCTCAAGCTTGCTTATGAAAAAGTTCTCCTGACAGGAAAAGCTAAAGATAAACACAGTTGACTTTCCAGCTGTTCCCAAAGAGAGCAGAAATCTTCAAGATTTCCCCCTCCTAGGTGGGTCCACACAGCATCCAAAAGTCATCTTGGGGTCCTTCTTAAGTGGCTCCCATTCAAATCCTGGGGGCAAGGCTGCCAAAGAACCAGCTCTGTCAGCAAACGCAGAACATCATGGGCGGGAGAAGACATTCTGCCTACCCAGCAGCAGCCATCTTGGGGAGGAGCTCTCCCCCACCCTACATCTCAAACCAAGCTAGCTCTGTAATATTTTGTGTAAAATAAAATATTACATAATATTTATATAAAAAACAACCTCTAGTCCCCAAGACATTTTCAGTCTTCTCCTTTCCTGGAAGTACTTGCAAGCAGAATTTCTAGGAGGTTTTTGACTGTCGAAGGCAAAATTTCATCCCTTTGCTACAAGTCTGTAGAGAGTCTCAGTCAACCAGACCGTGGCTGTCCCAAAGGTGTTTTTTTCAGGAGGCAACTGGACTTTCTGTTTTGTTTTTTTCTTTTGAAGACATTTTGCTTCTCATCCAAGAAGCTTCTTCAGCTGCATTCCATTCCCCACTATCCTGTCAGAGTTGAAGAAGCTTCTTGGATGAGAAGCGAAATGTCTTCAAAAGAAAAAAACAAGAAAGTCCAGTTGCCTCCTGAAAAAAGCACATTTGGGACATCCTTTTGCTATGTTTTCTCCACTCTTGTTTCCAGTGAATCTGTTACCATTTTTCCCTCTCTCTCTACTTTTGAATCCTTTCGTCTGAAAAAAAACAATGCCCTGGGAATATTTTACTGATAAGGGAATATGAATCTTTAAGGGAGGCAGACGAACAAGAGAAGTCCAACTGAACTCCATTATGCATTGATGGAACTTGCAGCCAACAGCTACCCCTTCCTTGAAGGAAATCTGCCAAGCCAACTTACCTTCAGATCGCCTGAAATATTGGCCCCGGCTAGGATCCCAGTGGCTGAGGGGAAGAAGATGGAGAACATGCCAAAAAAGCTTCCAGAATCTCCTCGCCATTGAGGTGCGAGGTTCTCCAAGAAGATGTCACCTTGAAGAAGGAAAGGATTTTTTTTAAAAAAAAAAATCAAGCAAGTACCCCAAAAGCCATTGAACTTTTTTATTTTAAAGGCATTTGGCATTTCCAAGAATCCAGACTGTAGAGTTGCCTTAGAAAGAATCAAGATATTTGATTATCTGCTTTAATGTGGTTTCCTTTAATTAGCAGCAGCTCCTTAAGATTATTCTACTTGATGACTCAGAAGACGGGAACCTGGAGCTTCAGTAGACACAGCTCTAGTCCTCCTCATCATCATCACCATCTCCTTTTAAGTACCCCATCATCCCTCGCAGGGTGGAAGCTGGGCAACTGAATGGAACTAGAGTGTTTACTGGCCAGATGCCCTTCCTGTCACCGATACAGAGTTTTGTTCAGCAGATATATTCTCAGTGTGCCCAGAGAGAGAAATATCTGCCTCTACCTAGGATCAAACTCACAGCCTCCTGATTGTGAGGTGAGAGATCCACCTCTGGGCACTCAGGCTCTAGTCCTCATGATTCCAAATAGAGGACACTTTTAATACGAACATAGGAAGCTGCTTTACCGCGTCTCAATACTCAGAATGGTTAACCATAATGTACTGAACAAACTAGAATTTCCTGTATTCACAAATCCAATTATGGCTATGTGAAGAGTACGTAGTGGCCTGGTGGATCAGTGCAATGTGTGAACGCCAGGCAGGGGGGCAGACAACTGATCTGTCTTTGGCCAGGGATGACCAATATTGTTTTAGACAAAATTTGTTCTGTGTCTGAGGCCATTAGAAGTCCCATGGTCAGAACCTGTGACCTCCGCTGGGCCTGTTGTGGTATCTACTTCTGAGATTCAGTTCTTCCTGAATATGGCCTGCTCTATTATGTTATTGAACTGTACAACATGTTCGGAACAATTAGGAAAACATGCTGCAAGAGTATAAAGAGTATAAATATTGCAGCTGCTGCAACTCTTTAAAGCAGCTGCTTCTCAGAAGATACAGCTGCTTTAAAGAGGAGAGCAGTATTTGTATTGCTACATAAACTGGGAAGCCATGAAATCTGTGTTATATAACTATGATTCTGTCCAGAAGATCAAGAAAGAGCCGAGGTGGCGCAGTGATTAGAGTGCAGTACTGCAGCCACTTCAGTTGACTGCTAAGCTGCAGTTCGGCGGTTCAAATCTCACCGGCTCAAGGTTGACTCAGCCTTCCATCC